AACGAGCGAACGAGCGAAAAACTGGTGCACAATATAAAACAATACTACAACCTACTCTTGACTAGTGAATCCAAAACCAGTACCAAAAGGCAAAACAAACCAAGTCTTGTAAACATCTTGTCAATAGCTGTTGCTGTTGAGAATAAAAGGTTGTGAAGATAAACTAGGTGTGTGAATAAAAGACGCATCATAGTGTAATGGTTATATTTTGAAATCATATGTGAAAAACTTTTTACCTGCGTTTAAGATTTCTCTTAGAACTTTTTAGTATTTCTAAATACTTAAAAGCATTTCATTAGCGCTTTCTCTTTATAGTTCTTGACTTTCACCGGACGCGTAGAGCAGAGCTTAAGTTTATATATCGTATACAACACGGCCACTTATATTTTATATATTACTTGAACATAAAGTTTCTTGCTCTTGTAAAGGCACGAACACACGGTGCAACATTGCGCGTAATATTGCAGGCAATGTTGCTGAAGTAGGATAGTTTTCTACTTCAGCAACGTTGTGTGCAACAAATTGTGACGTGTGTCATGGCTTGCATTGCGCGCAATGTTGCACCGTGTGTCTGTAGCTTAAGTATTCTATCAATCGCACACTGAGTAACGGACTGGTCATTATATAAGTCCTGAATTATTTCTAGCAAAAACTAGGGGGGTCTTGAGAAAAGTTATTTTCCTTACATATATGAATTCAAGTTTTTTCATCTTTCAATGAAATTCTCCTTTTGACTATTAAAATTCGCATTACACTCCAGAAACAGACTCAAATGATGATGAATTTTTGGAGTTTTTGTGACTTGCCATTATAGCCATTTTGAGAATATTCTCGATCATTTATTATTGAGGGGGGTCCTGAATTTTTCAACTAATCTGGAAAGGGACTCCCGAAAAAATTGAATGCTATCAGGTGGGGTTCTCGAAATTTACAGGCATTTTCGTGGTGGACGCATGCGTATTTTTTAAACTCTGCTGTAGAATAAAAACCAGCAGGTGTTACCGCTCTTGTCAATGTCTCGACAATCTATTCGAGGTTTATGCATCATAAGTATTGAGGAAAAGGATTATAGAGAATCGCTGCATCACTTACTTGTTGTTGGACAGTGTTCTCTGCTAGTCTCGCTGAAGCTGAACGGCTACAACAATATACCGTTATCCTTTAAGAGCAATCTTTGTTAGTCTTTAATTACCGTAGAAATTTCTATTTCTCTCCGCTCAATTTCAAAAGTCAATAGTCGCAAAAGGAAACCAAACAGAGGAGGTAAATAGAGTACTATTTGTAGCTAGGTGATAACCTCATATCGCTTTATTATCACAATTAATACTGGCATGAAAAGAATTAACCAGCACCAGCATCCAATAAATCTCTTCACCACATACAATATAATTTGGGGTAAGGAAATCTGGATTTTGCAGAATTTATCAATATACTGCAATTTGTATTCATAGAAAGTGTAGTTTCTAACTATTTTTTTAAAGAAAGCGTGCAAAAATTCAGTAAAAGTCAAGTATATCTATATATCCATTTATATACTGATTTCCAGATTAAAACAAAAAAAACAAAAAACAAAAAACGATTATTCAACCAAAAGTTAGCCAAATATCTATTATTAACGTTTACAATGTACACTATGATTATATTTCACCGAAAATATCGTATTTAATCTTTATTAAAACGTTTTTTAAAATTGAAAATAACTCATAATGCACGCGATATATCGATATTCATTTTATTTACAGAATTTTTGTAAAGCGCTGTATATATATACACCTATTTCAGAAATTGTTGTCGCACCAAAAGCCTCAAGAAACAAGCCAAGACCGCAGAGAACGCCGGTACTTTTAGCTGTAATTAGTTTATTCATGGTGCATTTTCATTTATTGACTTCACAAATTGCTCCAAGCAAGGCTGCTTGAAATGATAATTAGTGGAGAGCTATAGCCACTTGCATGAACCATGAATAAATCAATTATAATTAAAAGTACCGACGTTCTCTGGAGCCTTGGCTTGTTACTTGAGGCTCTTGGTGCGACAACGATTTTCGAAATAGGTGTATATATATAGGTTTGGTTCTATGACTTATATATACGTTTTCCAATGAGAACTCCCATCCCTCCTCAAAAAGAAAGATCCACATTTTAAAAATATATTCTACTTTTTTAATCATTAGTTAAGTTATTATTAGAGACATTTCAGATTTCCTGAAAACCCCCAGACTACTAAAGTCATTACGTTGTGYGAATAACAGTAGACTGTTTGTTTTAATTTTAATGAAAAGCTATACATAAACCGAAATTATTGAGTAGAGACTACATTGAGCTGTCGATTACGAGTAAGTATTAGTAGCTAAGGTAGATTATATATATTTTATTAGATTTTTTTGAGCAAACATGACTGTTTAAGAAAGATCTCGAGGATTTATTATAACACTAGAGCTTCCATTGAAAGGATTCTCAAACTTTCAACATCGAATGATGAACATTTTGATTGCCCGCAAATATCCTAATGTAAGATCTTCAGTCATAGGTTGGGTTTCTTTTTATTCTTCTTCACGTCTACAGAATCATCTTCAAATAATCTCAATGTAAATAACTTGTATGATATATGCCCAGATTTTTTTAAGATGTAATAATCCTGACACAAAAGCCTAACCGAACAGCAGCTGAAAAAAGATAGCGCCTTCTCGTATCCAGACCCTTCTAAAAAATCGAAGGCTCTGGTAAGGCACGAAAGAGTTACTCGATCTTCTCTGAGATAGAATGCTCGGCTTTCTAAGCAGCAACATAACTCATATTAGCTGTAATTCCTATCTAAGTCTTGTCAGGTCGCACCTATCTTATGGTAGCGAACTCTGGGCACCTCAGAACTCCTCGCGTGACTTGTTCGCTTAGAGAGTGACCAGAGACAATCCACCTAAATTTAATACTTCAAGATTATGACTCTCCCTACAGCGACCGTTTAGGAAGTTCGCGAGCAAATGCGAAGTGAAACGTTGTCAGTTTATAAAAAATAAAAAAATAAAAATAAAAAAAAAACCACGCACAAAATGCCCAACAAAATAAGGAGTCACCGTGCAATCCTGCGAGTAAAAAAATTCGATCATTTCAGCACTTGAGCTACGTTGACGATCATCAAGAGGTGAAAACAAATAACAATTCCGGTGGAAAAAAATGCAAWTTTTTTTGGGAAAAGATATTATGTATTTGTAGATAATAATCTGTTTTCTAACTAATACTCTTTAYTGAGGGAAAAGCAAATTACATCTTGAACAAAACTGTCGCTTTTTTGTCGTTCTCGCAGGTCGAGATAAACCAGAAAATAAAGAGTTTTAGATTGACTTTTTTTTCTCCCCGCAAACGGCAAACGTGACCACGTTTTCATAGTTTTCCTTTATTTTACTTTACTTTTTACAAACCTTCTCAGCAAGCGCAAATACTCTTTTTTTTCCCTAATACTTGGACTTTTTTGCGATTCTTTTTCAGTAATTTAAAAGAATTTTTTACTGGTCAACTGACGTTTCACGTTTGCCGTGAACGTAAATCTAAAACTCTCTAATACGTTGTTTCGGTGCCATATATAAATGTCCTTATTTTAGCATTTTTTTAAATATACGAAATAAAAAATGGGGGTCGCCGTTCGTTTTGAACAGATAATGTTTTTGYCACTCAAAGCATTTTAATGACGTCATTACGAAGAGCACATGCGCACTAAATTCATGCGTAGAAAAGATGCACGCAAACAATGCCCACCAACCGTTCTTAAAGCGTTTTAACTTAATTCCTCTTTCTTACTGACTTGAAATCTAGGATATGATCTACTTTTCTTATATAAACGTAATTACGGTCAGTATTTCAAACTTTTTAACAAGCTTCGATGTTCTGACCGCTCCTATACTAGGTCTAGAGGGCTGTTCACTGTACTCGTCACTCTGCTAGTTGAACATTAGATTTTACTTTTGTTTTTTCAATATTCTCTCTTTTTTWAAATTCCTTGTCATAGAAATAACTGAGAGTTAATTATGTTACCCTCGTAAAACAAATGTTTAAATAAAAAATTAAAATCCCTTCGACTTCTACTAATTTTCTTCAACCCAGCCAAGAAATTTTTTTTACTACCATTATCGTTAAAGTACGACCCGCAAAGTTTGATGCCTCGTTCGCTAGCCTGCGTAGCGGTCCTGTTTAAAAAWTTTTTTCGCGAGGAGTGGGGGATTGGGGCATTGGGAAAGAGTAGGGGAGGGAAGGGGAAGAGGATAGAAGAGGGTCTGCCTCCAAGGCCCGGCATTTTGCATATACGCTCCCTAATTCAGATTCAATTCCTGTTACATATCACTGTCAAAACAAACCAGTCATAGTTAAAGTGCCACTACTATGAAATTTTAATGTCTCACATATTTACTATTTACAGGAAGCCCAAAGTCTTTCAACAAATACTAACAGTAAAGCGGGAAATGTTATGTTGTTTACTACGTACGCTATAGCAACTTCTGTAATTTTTTTGGTATACAACAGTCTAACTCTTATCTTTTAGTGACTGTATCTTAAAACAGTAAAGCGGGAAATATGATGTTGTTTACTACGCACGCATTAAAAATCAACCACACCCTAAATCCATTGTTTGATGTAGGTTCTTAAATTCGGCGGAAAACCCAGATTCTTAAAGTCGGGGACGGAATGACATCAACAGGGGAGAGTGGGGCTAAATTATAAACCCGGGATAGGTTTTTAATTACTTTTCCTTATACTTGCCCGAGAGAACGCAAGGTATGAAAACAATACAATTTTTATTTCTATCGGAACAATTAAGTGCAAACGCGTATTGTACTCTATTTCCAAAAGAACAAAGCAACAGTAATCTATCTCTCTGAATTCATTATAATTTAGTATTTCGTGTTTTGCATCGAAACAATGGAATTTAGGGCTTAGTTGATATTTTAAACCAGTTCAAACGCACGGGCTCGGTTTTGCATTAGAATTCAAGACCTCGTCCTAGCGTTTGAACCTTTATATAGAAACTTCTGTAATTTTCTTGGTATGCAACAGTCTAACTCTTATCTTTTAGTAACTGTATCTTAAAACAATTATTTAATAATATCTGCACGAGTGTGTTTTTTAAAGGGTCGAGTACAACTTCAGGTCTTTGAAAAGCAAACGAGTGCGAATCATCCCAAAATGAACGAGAAAAACCGTATGATTACTTAGTAATAGTATGATTACATGCATGAAAAACATTACACAAGGAAGAGACGAAGTGAAATATTCAACACATATTATTCTATGAAATTAGTTCGTTCACAACCAACTTTATTCAAAGTTTTATGTAAAGTGCATGCTACAAATACAAATACATGTAATTCAAATAGTTTTTTTTACCTATTTTAAATGTGGTTATATGTTTATTGTAAAAAGTCGTTTACTGTAAAGTAAATTCGAACCCAAAATCGATTCCAAGCGAGGTCGGAAATTAATTTTTCCGAATTTAATTCCAAGGTCTTTCGCCCGGAATAACCTCGTTCCCAAGCACTATAACTTATCTATATTTCTATATCTTCAGACTATGAGCTACTAGAGTTGCCATTGAAAAACGTATACCCGACAGTTCAGTTGAACGTGTTCAGGAAGCTTTTGCAGCTCAGTCATGGGAACTCCCGATCGTAGACCAAAATATTGTGTAAGTACTTACCACATCGTAGTTAA